TGGCAAAGTAGGAAAAAAATTGCAGCATCGCATTCTTTGCTATTTTATGAACGTTTTCAGATTGATTTATAACTCAAATATGTATTCTACGTGTAGATAAAAGAGTGCACTTTAATTTAATCTAAGTTTTATTAAAATTTATTTGCTAAAAGTATGAAAAATATTTACCGAAACTTTGCAAAGAAATTGCAAAGATGTACATTTTACAGCATTGCATTCTCTTACATTTCCTGAACTTTACATGCTAATTTTACAACTCGATATGGTATTCTACGCGTAGACAAAAGAGTGTACTTTAATTTAATATGAGTTTCATTAAAATCTATTCACTTTTAGTATAAAAAATATTTACCAAAAGTTTTTAAAGAAATTGCTAAGGTGCACAATTTTCAGCATTGCATTCTCTGACTCTTTATGAACCTTTGCAGATTGATTTATACCACGAAAAGGTACTCTACGTGTAGCTAAAAGTGTGCCCTTTAATTTAATATAAAAATCATTAAAATCCGTTGGCTAAAAGTATAAAAAATATTTACTAAAATTTTTCAAAGAAATTGCAGAGATGCACAATTTACAGTATTACAATCTCTGACATTTTTTGAACCTTTGCAGATCAATTTATAACTCGATATGGTATTCTACGTGTAGATAAAAGTGTGCTTTTTAATTTAAAATAAGTGTCATTAAAATCTATTTACTTTAAATATAAAAAATATTTATCAAAACTTTTCAAAGAAATTGCAAAGATGCACAATTTACTGCATTGCATTGCATTGCATTCTCTGACATTTCTTAATGAACGTTTGCAAATCGATTTATTATTAAAAGAAATATTTTACACGTAGAATTTTGTTTAAATAGAGGAAGTGTATATGTTAACTCTTGATAGAAAAGTTTTCAATTTAACCAAGTTTTCTCCGAGAACATTCAATTTTGTACTTACGAAAGAAACTACGAACTACGAAAAAAAAACCATAAGAAAAATGAAAGAGAAAGAGAGAGAGAGAGGGTGAAACAAAAGGGAATAAAGTAAGATAGAAAGAAGAAACAATTTACCTGTAGGAGACTCGTGTTATAGCAGATAGGCCCTTAACGATTTTCCATCGAACGATACAATCTTCGATACAATTTTCTTAGCTCGTGCATGGTCACCATGATGGTTTGCAACGAATACGCGAGAACTGGAATCGAGAAGATTCCCATAGTCGTGGAAACTGCATTACAGGATCTCGAAAACTATCATCAAGATACTGCAACACAACTGAGAAAATGTCTGACGAGAAGTCTCGATGTTACTAGCGAAGCCATACTTGCTGATTTAGATAGTAAGTATAATAGAAATATTTAATAATATTATATTATTTCTAATATATTTCTTTAACTATTATTTATTTAATTGATTTAGATAGTAAGTATAATAGAAATATTTAATAATATTATATTATTTCTAATATA